GGGGGGGGGGGGGGGGGTTGTTCTTTTTGGTTTTCTTTGTCAACTTGTGTGGATGCTCCCCAGTGTTGCAGTTTTATCTGCTTGATTCGCTGAGTGCCTGAGTTGCGTGCCTGTAGGCACAGGAGTATTCCTGGCTGGTTTGCTTTTGCCACTATATACTTGTTGTCAAACTGTGTAAGTACTGAAGCTTAAGTTTTACTTTCTAGCTTGAACACAGCCTGGAGTCTAGAAAGGCTGTATTTTATGATGCAATACGTTCTGCACGGTTGGTCTGTTTAGGTGAAATACTGTTTTTTGCCATAAACCACTTAAGAACCTAGTTTAATGCTGTTGTCTCCATTATCATGAATCAAGTTTTGTATAATCCTTATGTAAAGAACTGTATAGATGCCCTTGACTCCTTAAAATACAAAGGACTCTTTTTCTGTGTAGTGGAAATAACTTGGGTTATAATCTAAATGTATAGGGACTTAGTTCTGTTGCTGGGTTTGTGCACTGTAACTGTGCATTTTGCACCTTGCTGGTTTTGAAGTACAGTGCTCATAGGGAGAGGATTTACAATGCTCTTCCGTGAAGATGAATAAGCTGCCTACTACAAGTGGCTTCTGCAGTGCATCGACAGCTGTTTCTGATATTATGTACAAAGACAAATATCCCGGTGGTGTGAGGGAGGGAGCATGTTGAAATAAACACTTGCCTGTCTAGGTCTGTAGCTACTGCTGTAATTAAAAAGATGGTGTGTTTAAAGTACTATTTGACTTTTTTAGTTGGGTTTACCTTTTAATTATTAGATCTAAGCAATACATGGCGAAGTGAGCAATAATGCAAATAATAGTAATGCCCAATTATACTAATCTGTATGAAAACATCTGACCAAAAATAAACAAAGCTTTCATGCATTAGTATTGTAATCTAACCCATGAGATTAGAAATTGTATAAATCCTCTTTTTTTCTTTGTGAGATGTTTTGAGGCATGATTTCAACAGAAAAAATAACTAGAGCTAAAATAAATTGGCTCCCTCTGTAACAACCAGTAACATGCGAACTAACCTATGTGAACTATCTTAAAAGACAGAGTCCACTGCACAGCTTCTTCAAAAAAGCAGAAAAAACCTAGGTGTTCAACTGCTCACTAATCTGCTGCTACACAGCTCAACTCTGCAGTCAGATATATGGAAAATACAGTTCCATGCCAGAGCCACATCCAAGCAAACATGCCCTCAACCACTTAATACTGATTTTAAGTACTTTGTAGGTCAAGACAAAATGATGCACATATAAACTGCTGAGAGAACTAGGATGGCTATCTTGATCTGTGCTGCATCATTGATTTTTGCCTGCCATGGTTTCCTGTATTCCAGTATTCAGTTTGAGTGGCTTTGGGGGGTTTTGCTTTCCTGTTGATGTTGTTTGGGGTGAGAAGGGGGTGGTGTAACAGAGGCTGTGCATTCCTCTTAGTTTAACATAGAAAGATAAAATGTTGAAAAACCAAAAGACCATAAACTGTAGCTTTTCGAAGTGTTGCTAAAATAAGACAATACACAATCTGTGCTGATCACTGTCTCTTATTATCTTCCTTTTTCAGCTATTAATAGACATTGTCTTCACCACTCCAGTCTGCCAACTTCACAAACACGCTAAGCTTTTAGAAGGCAGGGTAAAGATGCACCATATAGACCAACTCAGTCAGAGATGCTTAACTTTCATGAGCAAAAGCTGATGAAGTACATTTGATCATTTCAGAGATGCATCTGATGAAATGAGTTCTTGCTCATGAAAGCTTATGCATCTCTGATTCAGTTAATCTGTAAGGTGCATGTCTACCCTGCCTTCTGTCTGACTTCAGATTAACATGGCTAACTACCTCTATACACTTTCAGTGGTGGGTAAAGGCATTTCCATACCACTGGTACTGTAATAAGAACCCGGTTGTGTTAAACTCCTGAGTCAGGAGTTTGGAGAAGAGAGGGTTAGGGTTAGGCTGAACAAGTTGGTATAGATATAACTAAATATTTAGAACACCATATCACAAAAGGACACTTACTTTTATCTGCCCCATAGCAAATCTTAAACAGTGAAATATTTTGATATTTTCTCCAGGAACTAGCAAGCTGTGGATGGAATAAGAAAGAGAAACACATCCTCGCCCCTAATATTGTTGCCTTTACCAGAAGGTTTAACCAGGTAAATAATCTATTTAAATTCACTGAACAAATGCTGTCTGCCAATATGCAAGGATTGAATTTGTTACTTTACAAATATAGATATATGGGCCACATCTGAATCCTATTAACACATTTGCCTTGATAGATGAGCAATCAGAAAGTAATTAGAACAACATTTTTCTTGAGAGAGTTATTGGCTTTAAAACAGACTAGTCTGGGTGTAGCACATGATATATTGATTGTAATTGCCTTGTATTTTTTTTTAAGTTAAGGCCAAATGTAAACGTTAAATGACATTGATTGGAAAAATAATCCTTGTTTGTTAGTTTTGGTTTGGCCACCCCTTTTAATGTCATGTACTGTATTTGTTTTATCTAAGTTATTTATTTGTTTAATAGATGTGAAAGCAGTCTGCTAGGTATCAAGAAGTTATTTTTCTTTCTGATGAAGAATATTTGATTATATTCCAGTTCAACAACCTGCTCTTAAACAGCAGGTTTTCTGCCAGAACCTAAGATTTTCTAAGATGCTGATATAATCCTCATTACACACAGAAACAAAGTCAGTTTGGCAAAATTGTTTTGTTTTGGTCTATTTTTTTTGTTTTAGTCTACTTTGTGGACAGCTTTGTGTGTTCAGGTTGTATCTAGTAATAAAAATTAGCAATAAGTTAATACTTTTCAAAGTGCAGTGTTATACAAAGCCCAGCACATCCTCAGAGCAGTTCTTTTTTAATTTGACGGGAACCTAAATCCAACTAGCAGATCAAGGACAAGCTAATTTTAGGATTATCCCTTTTAAAAATCTTTAAATATGCTCAGAAATATTGTGCATGCTGCTGTTGCATGCCAGCACCTATGTGAGAATTTCCCCCGTCCCCCCTCAGCCACTGAATCAAAACCACTCATTATCAAATAATAGAATCTTAAGTTTGGAAGGGGCCTCAGAGGTCACTTGGTCCAATCCCCTGCAGAAATGCAAGATGCACTGTTTCTAAACCATCCTAGTCAAACTTCTGTCTAGCCTCTTCTTGTAAACTGCCAGTGAAGGACATTTTTCCAGGTAGCCTGTTCCTGTGCTTGACCACCCTTAAAGACAGAAAGTTCCTCCTAATCTCCAATCTAAACTTCCCCTGCTGAAGGCTGTCCCCTGTGGCCACAGAAAAAAAGCCATCCCCATCCTCTGTGTGCTTTGTCCTTCAGGTATTTGAAGACTTACCTACACCTACCCTAGTCTTCTCTTCTCCAGACTGAATAACCTTAGTTCTTTCAGCCTCTTTTTGCAAGTCTTGCCTCCCAGGCCCCAAATCATTTTTGTTGCTCTGCGCTGGGCTCTTTCTCCAACCTGTTCACATCTTTCTTAAAGCGTAGGGCCTAAAACTGGACTCAGTGCTCCAGGTAAGGCCTCCCCAGTGCTGAATAGAGGGGAAGAATCACTGCTCTTGAGTTGCAAGTGCCATTCCTGTTAATACAACCCAGGATGCTGTTAGCTTTCTTGCATCAAGAGCACGTTGTTGGCTCATATTTAGCTTATGGTCCACTGTAACCCCCAGGTTCTTCTCTGCAGTACTGCAGCCTAGCCAGGCATTCCCCAGTCTGTAGTTGTGCATGCAAATGCACAGCTAGGCAACAGTACGGCAGAGAAGGACCTGGGGGTTACAGTGAACCATAAGCGGAGTGTGAGCCAACAGTGTACGTGTTTGCCTGGCTGTAAGTACAAGACGCCAGAAGCTGAGGCTGTAAGAAATTGGCTCCCAATACAACAAGACTTGCAATACTCAGAGTTTCTTACGATGTTGTGCTTCACCAGATGAGACAATCACACGCAGCTGCTTGTGTATCTTATGTCATATGTAAATCATCTGTTCTTTAATGAAGTCAATCACAAAAAATGTTGTTCATCTAAAGGGTAAAGATTATGCTGGTGTAAGAATGTAATCAAGGAATTGTGTGTGCTTTTAAAAAGCTGTCAGCAGTTCTTTTTTTTAGCTAGTTAGCATGCCATTTGAACTTGTTCTTACACTAGTCCATGGAAAAAATGTGCTGTAGAACAACTGTAATGGCAAGAATGCAGCCTTGAATAATTGGAGAAAAAAAAAAAGGAACAAGTTTATTTCTCTAAATATTGTGGTTGTTATCCTTACTGAACATGTTGCAGTGTACCTGTATAATTTTTAGTTATTGCCTGATATAATAAGGTCCCTGATTTGAAATACGTTAAAAACATGTTAATTTTTCCATTTAAGTTAATAGGGCTCCCTTTCTTTCATGTACTTAATTAGAAGTAATCTTAAAAACTTTGCCAAATTAAGCCCAAGATATTTAAAATTACAGCTTTATTTTCATTAATTTCTTTAATGTTTTCTGGACTTCAGAAGTTCTTGACAGCCCTTATTGATAAATATAGAAATACCGTGATCTGTTGTGCTAGTTTTATCAGGTAAAGCTGACATTGCTATTTCTTATGCTTCCTGAAAATTCTTGTTATAAAATTGTGTTTTCAACTCTTTATAAAATTGCCAGATTGTAATTGCTTGTGTTCATATTTTTCATGCTGGATATCTGCCACAGGCTGAATATATTTTTGAAGAATTTCAGCCAAAACAGTTCAGCCATTTCCAAGAATGAGGTTAAAGAAAAATAGTATTTTGCCCATTAAAAATTTTCTTACAGCTGTTTCACTGAGTAGTTGTAGCACCCCTATGCTTTGGAGCAGGGACTTGAAATTTGGCAGGGAAAGTGGCCCTTGTGACAGGGATGCATCTTGCAGTTCCATGAAAATCCTTTCACGTTTGGCCAGTTTTTAAGCCTTTAAAAATCTATTTGCATAGGCCCAGTTGAGGCTTCAGAGACTGTAGCTATATGTTCCAAGGAGGTTTCGCTCTCACTGAGCAAGTCCCAGCTCCTCAGTTTCTCTGTGCACCTGAGCTCACTGGCGCCACCCCTGCAGAAGCTGAGCATTCTCCAGCCCAGGCCAGAGAGTGGCAGTGACAATGTCCCTGCTGATGCAGCTGCTGATCTTTAGCAATTTTGGGTTAGGCCAGATGCTGGAGTTGAGCATGCAGAACACTGCCTCACCTGTGCACTCCTGTGGTCCCGAGGAGGGCCACTCCCGAGCACCCACCACCCACGTGCTTCTGCAGGCACCAAACCAAGTACTACTACTGTGAACGTGCACCAGGCTACAGAATGTAGCAGGCGTTGGGACTTGCCTGTTCTCTTACGTAGACAGGCTTTCCAGGGTTGTCCTTCTGTCACTGCCAAATATGCTGGAGCAGAGTGCTCAAGGGTGGACATAACGGGTATCACAGAGCAGCTTCATTTCCATGTTTCTGGCTTAGGCTGGTAAGCGGGGCATGCCTCCCTTGAGACACAGGGAGGCATGCCCCACTTGCCAGCCTAAGCCAGGAACAAGGGTGCAGAGTGGACATGGCCTTTGGGCCCAGCCTGCTCAAGCCGTTTATGGAGGAAGCAGCCCCTTGGCTACAGTGCTGCTACCTTTGAAAGGTGGGGGTTTGGAGGAGCTTGTACTTTCCTCTAAGTATCTGGAAAATGTACAGATGCCATTTCAATTGGCCTCTTTATTAATTATACTTAGGTGTTTGTGTTTCCTTTCAGGTTAGTTTCTGGGTTGTACGAGAAATTTTAACAGCACAAACCTTAAAAATAAGGGCAGAAATATTGAGCCATTTTGTGAAAATAGCTAAGGTAAGTGTGACTTTTATTTTTTATTACTAATATATTTTCA